TTTTCTCTTTTGAAAATACATGTTCTCTAGTGTGGAATGCTAGTTGCAACTCCTATTTTGTCAAGCCTCAGTGATATAATGGAGATTACACATACACACACAACCTCTCACACACATATATTTCAAGTTTACTGTGCTCTCTATATGTTATATATTCAGGGCCAAATCCAAGTTTTGTTGGGTCTGAAGCTTTTATAATTTGGGAAGCCCATATCAAAAAAGGAACATAAAATTAGCAATACAGAATTACTAGAGTAACTCCTGGGGCCTTGGAAGTGCAAATGCGGGGCCTTGAAGCTTCAGCTTCATCAGTGTCACAGTTAAATATATTTCTGTGTGCATTTGCACTGGGTGAGGAAGGATGGGCAGCCTGAAGTTGCTGGACTGGGAATTCTTGGAAGAGGATGGCATGGCCTCTCCAAAGATGGAAAAGACTAAGAAAAGAAAAGGAAGCCTCCCCACCAACTTCAGAAATCTATTTGACTTTTGGCTTTAATTTCCCTGTTTTAGTTCCCTTTATAAAACAATTTTCTTTTCTTAGAGTAGCATTCCAGTTTTCCATAGCAAGGAGACCCGTGTCTCCTTGGATCAGGTTTCCAGGGCCCCATTTTAGAAACAAGAATAGCTCAAATCATGCTGAGCTTAAGAGCATTCCATGACAAGTGACAGAAGCTTTACAAACTATGGTCAGAAGGCACATTTCATGACCTTTAGCCTAAGAAACATTAGGTGGCTTGCTGCTTTGTCCCCAGAGGAGTGGCACATAGGAAAAATCAAAAGGAGTAGTGGCAAAAGTGTTAGGAACTGTGGTGGAAATCCTGCAGTTGCAAATGCGTCTCCAAAAAGAAGAAAGGAAACCTCCAGAAGATCTTTTCACTAGTGGTTCCCACAGAACCTTCCTCCCTCTCTTGGGATATCTTGAGGGTCTTTCAGATAGGCTGCCCCAGGTATATTAGAAGACACTGGACCTGGAGTGTTTGGAATCACAGATGTATGATCCTTCTTTTCAAGAAGATTGCTATGGAACCTTATTTCGCCATTCTCACCCAGGACCCGGTAATGTAACAGAAGTTTGCAAGACATTGACTCATTTTCATGAGGTGTCAGAGTAGAGGAAAACCAATAAATGACAGACATTTTTTGTGTACTTGAAATTTTTAATAAAGTGTTTTATGTGATTCAAGTTTTTGAATAAGCGTCCATTAAGATATATATTGCCAATCTTAAATGCATAAATAAAAAAGAAGAAAAACAACCAAGAATCTCTTGAGTATTTTTCATAACACATACATGCTCTTGCAGTATAATTTCTTCAGATTATGGTGATGAACAATTTGTATAAAAAAATGAATATGTGGGTCGGGCCACAGTGGTTCATGCCTGTAGTCCTAGCACTCTGTGAGGCTGAGGTCGAGAAGTTTGAGGTTGCAGTGAGCTATAATGACGCTACTGCACTCTAGCCAAGGCGAAAGAGCAAGCAAGACTCTGCCTCAAAAAAAAAATCTGGTTCTTTGTATACAAAGATGGAAGTATTGACTTTTGACTATTTTTTTTTTTTTCAGTAAAAGGCACACTGGCTGGCAAGCAGGGAGGTGCTACCAAGGGCCAAAGAGCAGAGAGATGCACACTGGCTCTCTGGGGAATCAAACCCATGCCCTTGGCAGCATGTTTATGGTACTCCTACCAACGGAGCTAACTGGCTCTAACCTTGCCATTTAGCATCTCAGCTCTGTTAAGCACGATTGCTCACAAACACAGCCTCCTTCAGGTCCTCACTGAATAAGGTTTGTTCCCAGCCAAAAAAACTCTCTGGAAGGAATGGGAATGGATTTTAATTTTTTTAAGCATTGAAAATCACTATTTTTTTCTTTTTTTTTCTGGAAGTTTCTTAAGCTTGAAATCCGTGATTTCATCTCGTGAGGTGATCCACTGGGTGATCTCCACTCAGGCGGTCAGTGGCTACTCTTAGGCTATGACTGGGTTCCATTTCTTTTTATAAAGCCCATGTTATTTCTGTTTGGAGGGCTTGAAGGCTGAAAGGGGGAAGGGGGAACTGAATAGCTCAGGGGCCTAGCTAATGTCATTTGATCTCTCTTACCCTGAAGCTTTTTTGAATTTGGCTCCTCTTCACACAGTCTCAAAATATGCACTGGCCCTTCAACAATCATTGACAAGTGGGCTCTGGAGTCAGACTGCCCGAGTTGGAAGCCAGGCTCCTCCAATTACTAGCTGTGAAGCTTTAGGCAAGTTACTTCATCTCTCTGCGCCTCAGTTTCCTTGTCTATGCAATGGGGATAATAATTTAAAATCTGGAAGAATTTTTGAGAAAATTAAATGAGATAATATATGCAAAGCACTTAGTCTGCTGCATACAGTAAGCACTCGATAAATTTTCACTCTTAAAAAGTACTAACAATCTTAAGTTCCAAAGAGCTCAAGGTTTTAAGATACCAGAATGGATCAGAAGAGAAAGGGATGGAATACACATGAGACACGTAATGTTGACAGAGAGACCATTTCTGGGTAACACGCAATCTGACAAGTTACTGGACCCTGGACAGACAAGGGTTATTTTTCTGCAGTTTAAGGTTAGGAAAGAAAGAGAAAAAGAACATGTTGGAAGGGAGGAGGAAAGGTGATGGGGTGAAGGGAAAAGCCATGGGGTGAAGGGAAAAGAAGTCCTGAGGTTACAAAACAAGTGCCTTATTTCAAGGCTGTGCTCAAGGCTGAGCCCCATGCCTGAGGGCCATCTATTTGTCTTCTGGTCTGCTAGAGGGGCTGACCTTCCCCAAGCCGGCCACAAAAAAACCCATAATACCAGCTTAGAAGCCAGTCTCTTTCATGCCTACTTTTTCCTTGAAAATAATAACTTTAAAAATGTATACGGTTCTCTATCAAGTTCTGGTCAAACACTTAGCTTCCCCTCCCCCCACCCAGGGGGGTCCCACCCAGCGATGTGGCTAATCCCTATGGAGTCTTGAAGCCGCTAGCCTCCCACGGAGCCTTGCAACTAGAGAGCCCAATGATCTAGCCTGGATTCTTTTGCCCGGTCTGGACTTGCCCCTTAGACAGGCTAAAACAGTCTTTGCCATCGGGGGCCACGGGGCATTTCCCCACACCCTACATTCAGCAAACCGCATTGTTTTTTTAAAAAAAAAAGTCTTAACTTATGAACACTTCTTCCCTTTAGCAAAGATTGTCTTCAGAGTTCCTTTAAATGTTGTAGTTCTTCACTCTGTGACTTATTTCTAAAAACTTAATGTGTATATAAAAGTGTAACTTTCTATTAACTAGTTCACCTGCCCTTCTCTAGTTCTGAAATGTTAATTTCAGACACACATTTAGAAAGCTCCAGAAGCGTTTTAATGATCATCCGTGAATTCTTAAACTGTGTTTTAAAAGGGCAAGATTTTGTGTAGTGGAGTTGTCAAGATTTGAATGATTGGAAAATGTAATTTCTGTAGTGGTATACATCATATTTGAATTAACGAGAAAATTCGATCAAGAACACCCGGGTTTGTTTTTTTGGGGAGGTGGTGGTTGCTTTTCTCCGCACCCGTTAACAGAGAATTTTCTTTCTTTAGCGAGACCCGGTTCCTCAGACAGGCTGTGGCCATTACACAGCTCACCGAGGATCGGAGGTTAAGGAATGTAAAGAGGTCAAACTTTGGCCTGGAAACAGACACGAAATAAACAAAATCCACCAACATATAAAGCAAATAATCACAGAAATTAGAAGAGTAGGTCAGAAATGGTGAGCTTGAGGTCAGTGGGAAGAATTATTCGTATAAATCTTCTTAGAGGAGGTAGGGAATTCCTATTTTAAAAAGAAAGAAAGAAACAGGAAAGAAATAACCCTTCGTCGCGTTCCAATCCCGGAGTTCGGGAGCGCGGAACGCATTCTGCGAGTTCCAGGGAAAGTAAGCAGCTTCGGGACATTTTCTAAAGTGCTCTTTGCAATGCAAGAACTTAGAATGCGGTTAGTTTTACGCACCAACTCCCTTTCCCATAAATGCTTTAAGGGGCGCCTAACTTCTCAAGACTGAATCACGTTTGTCAGATTATTTTAAACCTTGTGTCAGACCCCCTGCGCTTTGGGGGAAACCCGAGGCGAACAACCTGGGCGCCCGGAAACGTTCTGCAATGAATGAGCAAATGAATGAAACCCGGCCGGAACGCTGGAGACTGGGAAGGACGCAGGAACTTTTTCTGCGGGTTGCGAATCCGGCGTCGGCAAACTTAGGACCCAGGGCAGACAGGGCTTCAGCGGCTCAGTCGGTCTCTCTTAACACCAAGCACCTGAGAACAGGTGCGGTTCCGAGTGAGCGGCCGGGCCCGTCACTAACCTGCCTGGGGCCAGAAGAGATGCGGCCCGCCTGGAGGGGACTTTGCAGCGGCTCTGCCCCTTCTGCACTGCCCTCGGCTAGTGGCTTCTTCCTTCGAAGGGCCGAGCTGTAGCAGCCCTGGGGCGCACTCGCTGCCCGCCTCCGCCTGCACAGGGGCTCGCCTAGGTCTGATCCCTTAACCCGGTGGCCAGTCATTTCCTTCTCTAACTTGGTGGGTCTTTGCAATAAACGGAGCGATAAAATCAGAGGGGCAGAAAAAGAAAATAGACAACTAGAAAAGTCACAAGTGTTTCTTGGGGAGACCAGGGCGCGGGCTGTTTGGACTGTGGCAGAGCTGTGGGGCCCAGACTGGGAGCGGCGCTGAGCGGGACCGGTTTTCCGGGGCTGGCAGCTGCCTCGAAAAAGTTTCCTGTGGAACACTCGCCAGCGGGGGCGGGGGCGGCGGGCGCAGCAGTGGACGTGGGAGGGGGCGGAGGGGGGAGGCTGCGAAGGGCCTGATTGCAAACCGTTATAGTCCTTCAGCACCTCCCTCGCCGGTGGCCCCCCTGGCCTGCCTCCCCGCCGCGCGGCTGCCCACCTGGCGACGTGACGCTGCACCAATCCCTTTCTAGCAGCGCCCGGGGGCCCCTTCTCCTTGCACCGCCCCCCTCCCCACCCTGAAAGAGACGCGCCCTGCCGGGACAGACGCTGCGCTCTCGCCGCGGAGCACCCCTCTAGCTTACTCGTCTCTGGGACAGACGCTCAGGCTCGTCTCTTGCCCTAGCCAAACTTGCTTTCCCGCCTCGCAAACTCCGGCTTCCCTCCACTCCCAGCTCTTTTCCCTCCACTTTCCCCTCCTCTGTCTCCCACGCCTCAACCCCCTATCCCCACTCCTTTCTCCCGCCCTCTCCCTTCCCTTCTCCCCCCTTCCACTCCCAGTCCGCTTCCACCTCAGACTCCCGGTGCGCGCCCAACTCGGTCGCCCGCTCCCGTTCGGCTTGAAGCCATGGCGGGACCTGGGGGCTGGAGGGACAAGGAGGTGACGGATCTGGGACACTTGCCGGTGAGTAGAGGACGCCATCGCCCCCAAGTGCTCTCTTTTTGCGGGATCTGAGCGCTGGGGGAGGGAGCGGACCCCCTCTAGCCGGGTTAGACCAGGACTTCGACGGGTCCGCAGACAGCGGAGGGAACCCTGGGAGCCAGCGCGCGGAAAAGGCGCCCCCTGGGCGGGGCGGGGGGGGGGCGCCAAACTCCTCGGAAAGGCAAAGGCACCGGGTGCCAGGGGAGAAAAGAGGTGACAGGGGTGTCCTTGAGGGTCCTAAACAGCGGAACATTTTCTAAATGTGGCCCGCTTTGTCTAGCAGCTCTCTGATACCTGTCCTAGCCCAGCTCCCCGGAGAGGCCAAAAACTGCGACGTCGCGTGCCTTCCAGAGAGCACTCCTCCCTGTTTCCCCACCACCCCGTCGTTTGCTTCTTCTTTTGCCAGCGCAGATGCCTACTTATAGGGTGACCTTTACTTTTAGGTGACGACAGGCTAGAAAATTAAACTGTGGGAGTTTCACTTCTCTAACTTTCTAATAGCACGTTCTAAAACCTTCTTACTCTTGCCAGGGCAATGTCTTCGATTAAGTGTTGCAGGAGCGAAAGAACTCGACGCCTTTGGGGGGGAAAAAGTGAATTCTGCACACCCCAATTTTTAAAAAAAATGTATTGTGCTCCCTGGCTAACCAGATTTCTCTTTTCCTAGTGGTTTTCGTTTGTAGGTTCTCTTTTCCCAAATGCCCAGCTTTCCTCCGGAGTTGTAATTGATTGGTGAGCTATTATCGCCGTCGTTATTAGGAGACTTATTATTTTAGCAGCGCCGTTTATTTCATTGGCATCTGGTTTCGGGCTGATACTGGATCTCACCCAAATCCTTGTTTCAAGTTCCCTTTTTAGATTGGCATTTCACTCGCACCCTCTCTTGAATGCAAAAGGCCCCTGGACTCTCCGACAGGGAAATAAGCAGGCACGGTGCTGGAATGGTCGCCAGGCGACTGTAATTCAGGGCAGTGGCCTGCTTGCTCTGGGAAAAGCTAAATATTAACCTTGAGGTTATAGGACTCTTCAAAGTCGCACTGACTTAATTTAATACATATTTGGTGTTTAAAGATTGTGTTTTTAATGACGACAGACGCCTGCCTTCCTGAAAAAATGGGGCATTCCCAAAGCATCACTTATATAATTTTACACTAGAATGGTGTACGTAGGGAGGAGAGATGATGCACACGGGTAACAATTTAACAAATTGTTCTTTGCCATTATAAATCCACAACACAAACGCGGTGAGTTACAAATATTAGCGTTGTGATTATTTATGCAACTTCATAAAATAAAGTCACAGAACTTGTAAAAATTAATTCTTTTTCCACCCCGCATGGACCCAAAATTTCTTCCTTGCAGTGTGCATACACGAGACTTCTGGAATATGGAGGCCTCCATTGGTGGTTTCCTTTCTGAACAGAACTTTTATATTCAGACTAGATTTGCTCCCAAGTAAAAGTGTAAATCAAGGAATGAAATGTTACCGCCCTCCAACATTCTCTGTATGGTAGAGAGGATAGAAAAAAAGCAAACTAGGGCAGATATGTGAAACCACACATGGGCAAACTGAAATAAACTCCTTTCTAAAAATGACTAAAGAGAGGAATGGGAAAGACCTCATAGAAATGATAGGGCAGGGAATTCCAAACCCAAGGAGAAAAAGAAAAAGGTTTATTGCCACAGAAAAATGGGGGGAAATGGCCCAGACTAACTGACCTGGTCATGGCCCTGGAACATAAGAATTTGGTGTTTGGTGGAGCCCAGGAGATAAGAGGAAAAGCTGCAATCTTTACTTGGCAGTTCAGTGGAATATTAGTGTTCTGGACAGTGGGGGTGCATGTGGGGAGGGTAGAAAGATAAGGTTGGTTTTTAATGTGGGGAGAGTAGGGAGAAGATACAAACCTCAGGGCACTAATGCTTCGCCTCATTTTACAGACTTCATGAAAGTCTCATAAAGTCCTCAGCTTCTAACAATTTCTAAGTTTTTATACATGAGCCATTTTGTCTCACGTTGAGGTCTTCATTAACTGAGCAAATTATATAGAATTCTCCCCTCTTCCCTAACACCCAGCCAGATCCGAACCCTAAGAAATCTAGCAGAAGAGCAGCACGCCCTTTAGAATTTCCTTTCCTATCACATTTTTAGGGGTGGAAAACTCATTGTTGCTTTGGTCACTAGGTTATATTTCAGTGATTTGGGATTTCTTTACATTCAGCTTATTTCCTGACCTTCTGAAGAAGTAAAAGCAAATGAAGAGGCGAAGAGACACCTAAGTCAGCTGTGTTGAACTTTACATTTTGATGCAAAGTAGAGTTGATAAAGCAAGCAAAGAAATCTGCATATAATGGTATCCGTTGCAATAATTAGTCTCAATATGACATATGCAAAAGTCAGAAAATTGGCATTCATCAACACCAAGTGTACCAATGTGACAACAGCCAGACAATGAGGGGAGATTCAAACCTTGGAGTTTCAAATTGAGCAAAAAGAATCTTGCAGAATATAGAAGAATAATTAAAATATGGGTCTAATTTAAGATGGATAAAGTATGTTCTTTGTAGGCCTGGCCAAGCTAAATGACCACAAGACAAAGACCCTTGACAGAGGACAGGCTTGCTGTGCAAATTGGGATTTAAAGACAGTGGCAGAACGTTATTAGATATTTTTGTTATTACATAAATATTATTTTCAAACCTAAAATAGTAAGCAGGAGTGAAAGGTGGGGAAGCAGGAAAGGGGGAGAAAATTATATAACTTGTAAAATTAAAAAGTTTAACTTTTGTATAATTATATAACTTTTTTTGCGTAATGGCCTAAAGTTAGAGACAAAAGAGAACCAACATAATTACCAGTGAACAATAGGCCAACTCTATTACGTTTGTTAATTAGTGGGTTAAGGTAATTTTATATGATTTTCTTTTGAATAAATATCTTCTATAGGTGATAAATAAAAAAAGAAAGTGCAGAAATTTGTGGTTTGTGCTTCCTTTTTGAAAAGAGAACTACGAAGCTTTATGTCTTTACATATATCTTTGTAATAGGAATTTATATGCCCGCCAGCAATACCTGGGGTGTGTCTATATATATATTAATCTATTTCTTTTTCCTAGTATGCCTGCGTCCTCGAGACTGGAAACTATTTCTTCATCTCCAAATCTGGCATGTCTTTCACTGTGATTGTCCCCTTGGCCTTCTGTGCCCAGTATGGTAATGACATTCCTCACGGCTGTGGCCTTGGTATTTTGACACTGCCATGTGTAGTCCTAATCTATATTGGGGTCAGGATTAGACAAGCCTTGAGGACAGTAGTGGCAGAGGTGATCTGAAATAGCACATGATCCAAACACTATATTTGAATTACATTAGGTTTATATTTAAATACAACTGCCAGCTCTCCAGCCTTCGACCACCCAGACCAAGCCTACTTTCCACATTTGGTCATGTGAAATTTCCCACTTTACTAAGTCCCTTAGCCCCTGTTTGGAAGCAGTTTTACTTTCAAGTGCACAAGGATTGATATATTCAGCACGTCTTCCATACATATAGAGAATCGCTTCAGTATACCACTGTACTTCAATCTACTTTGTCAATCTTTTTTTCCCCCAGTTTCTACAGCAGTGGTTTTCATATGTTAGTGCACAAGAAGAATGCATAGGAATCGAGAGTCATCTCGGGATCTTGGGGACCTATCATCAGAAATTCTAATTTCATAATTCCATGGTAGGCCCAAGGAATCTGTATTTTTAATAAGATTTCACAAATGATAATTTTATAAGGAGAGTCTGTGCAGTCCACAGTTTGAGAAGCACTGGTCTGGAGGAAGAGATTTTCCTCTCTAAACTTTGCACTTGAATTGTGAAGCCCATTCTTCCAATGGTCTCTGAAACTCACTTGGGTATTTGTCTTGTCATATCCACCATTTTCATAAACTTGTTATATAAAATTACTGTTTCTAATATTAAAACAAAAGAAGAAAAGCCTCTGCTACCTCTTTCTACTACTGTGCAATCTCTTTACTTTCTTTTGCTGCCTGACCCCTGGAACACATTCTCTCATCCTCCTTTACTATCCTAAATTTGAAATTTCTTGCTACACACGTTGACCATTTTCAATTCCCTTTTCTCCTTAATCTCTGCCATATTTGGTTCTGTCAATCAGCCTCTGCTTTGAAAGTCTCTCCCTTGACCAGTTAACACTGCCTTCTAGTGGCTCTTTTTCTTCCTGTTACCGCCACTCCTGGCTTTTATTAAAATTAGCCATCAGGGTACTCATTCACCCCACTCCCTTGAATTCATGAGACAGAAACAACTCCCTAAATTCTGCGTTTCAGCAGGCAGCCGGAGTCGAGCTGTTAAATTTCAGGAGATAATTTAGACACATAGAAAGATATAACAAAAGTATAAAGTATTTGTCTAACAGTTTATGGTTCCAAAATGTGTTAAGACTGATTTTTAGTAATTTCTTTTGCGGAAAGCTTTAGAAATTAGAGTTTCTTCTTTACTGACCATTTTATTTACCCAAATGGAACACCAAAATATACAAACCCCCAAATTGATATAGCAGTCGTAGAAATGAACATCTTTCTTCTTCGGGTTTTCTTATCTCAGGGTGGCAGGGCAGAGGAGAGGACCAAGTAACTGTGGAGACCCCTCTAATATGGACCTTTTAATTTCACAGTGACCAGAAAGTGGGTTACTTTTCAATGCTTGCTTCCTTGAGAGCCCAGAATATACTTGCTCTGACGGAAAGTGGAAAGCATGATATAAGAAACTGGGTATTGTTAACCTAGTAATTAGTATAGTCCTTCCCCTCTTTTTTCTCAATTTCACATTTAACTTTAATGATAGTAGCGTAGAGATGGGGAACAAAATATCACATACAACTAATGAAAAGAATATAGTCTTAGGTTACATGAATACTAGGTACAGCTGCCTTTAAGAGCAAAGGAAATTTTTAAATGTTCTTTTATTAAATGTGAGCATGAAAAGAAATAAGATGGTTTGGTCATTTGTGAGCAGGAAAAAGTTTCCTGACAACATCAATATAGATAAAATAAGGCCTGCACGAATTTCCACAGGCATTTTATTATCACAGTCCATTTCCTTGGTGTCTCTTTGGAGTAATTAGATACCTGAGTTCAAATCTGAGTAAGGTACTTATATTATTGAGGGCTAGAAAACGGATTAGAGAAATTTAAGACAGTTTGTGCTCAAAGATTCAGAAATAAAGGTTGTACGGACAATGCAATGATTCTCCAATGTATTTTCATTTTGAGTATGTTCCCTGAACTATTTGCTTATAATGATAAACTGTGTCTACTGTGACATAAATTTTGATGATCATTTTGAAAAAGCAGCTTTTTTTTCCTATATACAATTTTAGAGCTGGAAAAATTACCTAACACAACACCTTCATTTTATATATGTGAAAACTGAATCCCAGAGAGAGTAAATAACTTACCCAGAGTCTTATAGTTAATTAATGGCAGAGCCGGGGCTAAAACTCAAGTCTCTTGATTCTCTGTCCAGTTGAATACTTGTTGATTGAAGTAATCTCAGAGCTGGGTCATTTTCCTATGACAGTTTTGCTAGATTACACAAATATGCCAGTTTTAAGGAGTCTATAATTTCATTCTTCTATGCTGCATATGTTCAATAGTTTTTCTATTTAGCTCACATTTGTCACAGTGATAAAAATGTTTTCAAACAGGATTAAACGAAGTTTGTGGATATGAAATGTGCTTTATGTAAGGCATAGTGAACTTCCAAGAATTTGCCAATGTTCCTACCATTTTGTGTATAAATTGGCATCTACTCATGCTTCGTATAGGTTTTGCTAAAATAGCAAAATAGGCTGCTAGGCTAAAAGTTCAAGCAGTGATACATTTCAAGAAACCATGTTTTGTGGTGAAGAAGAAAGAAATGCCCATATTTAAAGGTAAGGAAACAGTGCTTGCTGGTGAATATGGAAGCCTCAGGACTCTGTCCTTGAACATGTTATATTTTGTTTCCTATGATGCCACATTTAGGCTTAAGTCACAGAAAACAATTTGTGCCATGAAAAGGTATTCAGCTAATGCAAAGATTAACTTTAAAAAAACAAAAGAATACTCTCTAGTATTTTTTAAATGATGCTCTTTTAATGCCATGATCTTGCTTTGTTATTCATATTTAGAGAAAATATTTCTTCTTAAGTGTTGCTATAACACAAATAAGCCATCTAGCCTTTGTATCCAACATCTAATCATCATTGCTGTATGCTAAACTTTCTGCCTGGTTAGTCAAAAGATAGATGTTAAAAGAGTACTTCAATTACAAATAAATTAACTTATTTCTATTTTAATTATCTTTCTAATTACATCATGAATATGCCTTAGCATTACATAAATGTATGCACTTTACAGTTTTATGACAATTATTTACACAAATATTTAATATCTATACCACTGTTTCTTTTTTATAAATGACTATACTCAATCCAGGGAGACTGTGACATCTGTGCTTTTGGTAAATGACATTTAGGTTCTTCCTATGTAAATTTTAAGGGACCAAGGCAGACTGAAAATACTGTTTAAGATAGCTGAATGCTTGCCTATTTTCTCAAGAAGATTGACAGTTTTTTTTTTCTACTTTTTTTCAGGATCCAACTGGAATATTCTCACTAGATAAAACCATTGGCCTTGGTACTTACGGCAGAATCTATTTGGTAAGTGGAGTTAGATTATTTATTCATTCTTCATTTTCTAGTGATAATGATAATTATGAGTCAGACCTCCACACTGCCAATCAATGCCAAAACATGGCATTTCATTTTAAGATATGAATCAAATTAAGATAGCTCAATAACATCTATAAGAATTATTATTATGACAAAAGGAATGGATTGGTGAATCTATAGTGAACCAACCAACCAAACATAAGATGTAAAAATTATTAGCAGAAAATTAATAAGGTCATCAATGGAAAAGGGAAATAATTCAAATAAGGTATACCCAAAGAAAAATATCACTTGTTTTATATTATACACCCTCACCATTCTAATTATTCACATTCAATTGAAAACTGATAAAAAGGAAAATTTTCATAACATTCTATATCATAGTGTATACCTGAGTGTGCACATGTATATGATAAAGTTTGCTGAAGAATCTTACAGGAAAAATTATATATTTATTTAATGATTACTTATTAAGCACTAAGTATGTGCCAGGCCCTGTGATAGTCTCTGGAAATAAAGTGATGAACAAAACAGACAAGGTCCCTGCTCTTCCAGGGCTTATGGCCTAGAAATGTGTAAGTAATTAAGTATGTATGTGTGTATGTGTGTGTGGGGGGGTGGGTGGGAGAGTAACATACATTACATAAGTAAGCACATAAATAACTATATCCAGTTGTCCTTCAGTATCCCTGGATTCCGCATCTGTGGATTCAACCAACCTCGGATCAAAAATATTCGAAAAAAATTGTGTCTGTCCTGAACACGTATAGATATTTTCTGTTTTTCTTCCATAAACAATATAGGATAAAAACTATTTACATAGCATTAACATTGTATTAGATATTATAAGTAATTTAGAGATCATTCATTTAGACATCATTTGAGGTACACAGGAGGATGTGCATAAGTTATATGAAAATACTATGCCATTTTATATCAGAGACTTGAGAAAACCCTCAGATTTTGGTATCTGAGGGAGGTCCTGAAACCATCCTCCACGTATACTGAGGGATGACTGTAATTGCAAATGTAATACACGATCTGTAAGAAATTCTTAGTGATATAAAGCATAAAACAAGGGAGCTTAATTTAGATTGAAGGGTCAGTGTTGACCTCCCACTCCCTGGAAATTGATAGTTAAACTGATACCCGGAGGATAAATACAAGGTAACCAAGCAAAGGGTGGTTGTGGAGAGTGATGTTAATGCGTTCTAGGTAGAGGCAGTGGCAGTGTTAAGGACTGGCTTGGGGTTGGAAGTGCTTTGGTAGCCCTATCTATCACCTTGATCAGGCACCCTTCTCCCACTCTCTAAAACGGGGAGTTGACATTTTTGCAATCTTGTTGAAGGTTCTATAAAAACGCAGTGTTCCACCTTCCCAGGCCTGTCCTTCCAGAGGCTGATCCTCACTACAGACTGATCGCAGGTCCTCCACATATGGGTTGTGTAGAGGTGTCTTGATATAGGCCCAAGGAAAGGGGCTTCTTTCTGGTTCAGAAAAGAGCGCCCTCTACTTGCCAGGCCTTGCACCTTTGGGGCTACATCTGCCCCATCTACATTCCTTTCTTACTCATCTACCCAGGTTGGAGTGGGGAGATGCTTTTTAAACTTTGCACAAAAGCACCTATAGCATACAAGCTGAGTAGTAGAAATAGCATATGGACAGGTCTTAAAAGCAGAAAGAACCTTGGAGACTATAGGAAACAGAGAGAATGCCAGTCTTCGTGACAAAAGTTGTTTCAAACTATTTTGACCTTACCCATTAACAGGACCAATAAGCTATAGACAGTGACATGATACAGACTCAAGTATATAGTTTATGCTACCTCATTTGCATCCCACACTGAATGATTAGTTAACATTTGTGTAATCTAGGTCACATTTCATACCTTATACCTATACCTTTTACACAGACAGAAGGTTTCTGGTACATTTATGATTTCTGTGTGTCTATATGTATTTTAACTCCTGAGGGGTGTGTGTGTAAATGTGGGTGGGGGGGTGGGGGGGTGTATACTTCTTCTGATTTGAAGGTATAGAGCCTTTTCCACCACTAGATATTAGAAATAAAAATCTCAGAGTCATATAAGGTAAGAAGCAATGGTAAGACTAGGCAACACAGTCTGAGGGATGACTGTAACCATCTTTCGATGGTTCCTCATGATCATTCATCACATAGAAGAAAGATGCCATCAAAATGAGAAAAGTCAAGAGAGTAAAAAGGTAAGTGTTGCATGATAATTTCCTTTTTTAAAACTCAGGGTTTCTTGGGCTAAAGTATATATTTGGTGAAATTCACTCTTTTAAGTATACAGCTTTATGAGTTTGGACATATGAATACAGTCATATAACTACCACCACATCAACATTTTCAGTATACATCTTAAATTAATTATAGTCTATATTCAAGGGATATTCTACCTCTTCACTGTGTGGTGTCCCAACTGGCGTTGTTGTGGTTGTTGCACATTTTGCTTTTACATATGATATAAATCCACAGTACTACTATACTTTTCCTGTATTCATTATACTCACTCTTTCCCCTATACTCACTACTACTATTTTTTATTTACATAATTAATTATCTTTTGAAACAATTAAAAAGAAGAAAAATGCCCTATATTTATCTTCATTTTAGCCATTTCTGGAATCTTCATTTCTTTGTGCAGATGCATGTTTCTATTAATACATGGTATGAAGAACTTAAGCCTAAAGAACTTCCTCTAACATTTCTTATTGTTCAGGGCTGCTGGTAGTGAATTCTCTGCATTTATGTGAAAAGTCTTTATTTATCCTTTATGTTTGAAAGATATTTACCCTGGGTATAGAATTATGAGTTGACAGTTTTTTTTTTTTTCTTTTAGCAGTATAAAGATGCCCCTCTTCTGGTTTGCATAATTTCTATAGTCTGCTATAATTTTTATCTTTACTCCACTGCATTTATTTTTTCTGGCTGACTTTAAGATTTTTTTCTTTGTGTTTGTTTTTCACCAGTTTAGATGCGAAATGTCTGGAGTTTAGTCATCTCTGAGGCTGGTTATGTTGACTGCTTTTTTTTCTCTTGAGTGTTTTTTTTTTCCTTGCTTTTTTATACATCTCAAAATTTTTGTTTGAATGCCAGATACAGTATGTAGAATAGTAGAGAGTGAAGTAGACAGCATTTATGCCTTTAAAGGGGCACACGTGTTCAGCTAGGTTGTTAATGTGGGAGGTTGAATCAATCTAATAAGGAGACAGACTGTATTCGGGTTATGTTGTTGCTATGGTTACCCTCCATTCACTACCAGCTTCAGATCCCTCTGTTACCTTGTGCATAGTGTGGGGGTTGGTTTTCTGGAAGGTTTTTCTCCATAGCCTTGCTGTATCCTTAGCTTTAGATCTTGCCTGTGCATCTGTGCCCCAGAGAGGTTCTCTCTCCATGCTCTTACCCTCCCCTCATGGGGCACTGCTACTGCTTCTTATTGAGTGCCTGTTAGCCTGGTGGTGTGGGCAAGGGAAGTTTTCTCTTTTCCTGCTTCAGCCTCAGGCTTAGCAGATCCTGTGCCTCTGGGTCATAGGAGTGGGACTTTCTTAGTAATCCTGCCTCTCTCCTAGTGTTAGGATACTTTTAATCATTTGGACCCAGAACCAGTTCTTGCCCTTCCTCCAGAAATAGATGACTTTATTATTATTATTACTATGTTTCACCTTTCACTAGCTGCAGTAGGTCTTCATCTGTACCTTGGGGCGGGGAATGATTTGCTGCCTCCCTCTAGCGCTTAAGACTTTTATTCGTAAGAGGGAAAGGAACTGGAGCTGGTTTCATGCCTTTTCCACTATGGTGGCTTCTCCTGTCCGCCAGGTCTGTACCAGAAATCTGTAGGGAAGAGCCTGCAAGTGTGTATAAATTCTTCTTTTGTCTGTGGCTCCCAAGGGTTCTTTATGCTCATGCTTGGCCACATTTGGTCTTTAGCAATTCATTAAAAAAAATTTAGCTGGATTCTTTATACCTGCTTCTATGGTGACTCTGTCTTCCCCCTGTAGCCACAGGTGAGCTATGTCCCATCTCTCCTTGCAGGTGCTTGTCTTTCTTCAGACTTCAGCCTAATTGGTTGCCTTGAGACTTCCCTCTAGATTCAAGAAAAGTTACAATTTTGTAGATTATTCAGCTTTTTCTTGTTGTTAGGGTAGGAGTGGCACTCTTTCTAGCTTTCATGTCTTCATCAGAAGTGAGAAGTCCATGTTAATTCCTGTTAACTGAATCTCCGTGAAGCATCTACCATATGTTCAGTCCTGCACACATTTATAATTTCTAAGAATTGTATGTGTATCTATTCATATCCAGAAATAGAGAACACTTTCTATCATAAGATCTTTAAAGTACAAACCTTTGTGTTACAGAATGTTGATGCTTACAGAAGCTTTATATACACCAGAAAGATTTTTCTCTGCCACTCATTGATTTGACTTCTTTTTATTCTGCTTCAAATTAATTTCCTCCTGTAAAAAGGTTTGAGATGGTTGTGCTATACAGTGATACCACCCTCAGGGGAAACTATCTGGAATATGTAATAAATGTTTTAAAAATGTTCATCCTCTTTACACCAATAATTCCACCTTTGGAAATCTACAATAAACATCCCAAATGCAGAAAAAAACATGCAGATATACATTCATTGCAGCAGAAAGGTAGCATATTGTGCTGAAAAGAGGCCCTGCTTTGAACCAGGCAGAACTGATTCAATGCTTACTTGGCCATTAATTGCCTATAACCTCGAGCAAGTCACTTAACCTCTGAGTATAAATTTCCTTATTTATAAAATGGAGTTAATAATAACTACCTTGCAAGGTTTGATAAAATTTAGAAACAATATATTAAAAAATACTTATTATTGTTGCCATTACTTTTAAAAAGAAAAATTTAGCAGCACCCTACATAGTAAAAAACTAAGATGGAAATAAATTATTATACCTTATACCCAGTCAAGATATCATTGCTCTGTAAAGCAG